TGTATGATATTATAGTTATTTAATAAAATAATGAAACGATTTAAATTTTAAATAGTTTAGAAATATTCAAGGTACCTAGATAAAAACAATAAAATATTTAACTGTAGAAAACCCAATTTATTCCGATTGGTAAATTACAATTTTTTAACTATTAATAAGTTTACCAAACTTTAGAGGAACGTAATTATAAAGGAGTTCAATCWAAATTGATGAATCGACAWTAACGACATTTTCATGAAAAGAGCACTATCGATAATCGAAATAAAGTTAGTTTTTTAGTTGGTACATCAGCTACCTACTTAAAAATTTCAAAATTATCAAAAACAAAATTACTTTCAAAGATAAAGAGACACTTAGGCACTTCTTTTTTGTTCTGTTATTTTTTAATTTAACGCTATTGTTCTAAATTTATTCTAAATAATAATTTTATAATCATGCGTACTAGTGTATGATGAATTGATGCCATACGATACGCCATATTTAGTCGTAGCCAGGTAGCCTATAATGGCTATAACTATTGTCTATTTCAATAGACACTATTGTAGGCTGCGTCAGTGCTCATGCTGGATTTCATGTAATTGTTAGTATTATTTATCAAACGTTTTGTGATTATTTATGCAATCTGATATTATGAATAATTAATTTTTCGTAAGTCAAGTCGTCGGTAATGCTAAGTCTGACTCAGGAGATAAGTCATAAGTTAGGTATTTACTATTTAGCCTTATCATCGAGGCATCTCGGGCCACACATAATAAATAGTGAGTAAATAATAATGCCTATAACATAATTTAATATAATCTACAGAAGTCAGTTAATTGTTATTTGTTATTATACGCTATTGTGAATGGATAATATTTTCTAWATTTATTATTATATYCAGTGGTATCAAATAACTTCGCTTAAACCTGGTGTAGAAGAGGCTTCACTAAAGATCTCGCGTTACATAAAATATTCGAAAAATTGTATTGTGATTGTAGCCAGCAAAATAACCGAGCGCAGTGATCAAATTCTCCGTGGTTGRCTCCTACACGGCGGAGTTCTGATCACGCGCGTGCTATTCTGCGCGCGTCTGGCGCCGACCCTCCGACTTGCACCTTGTTCGCCCGCTTCGAGCTGCATTTCTAATTTTTCGATTTTTTTCCTCGTCTTTGCTGACGGGTTGGTGATGAGATGATTGGCAAAGAACAGTGACATGATTGATATCATAGTTCCGCATAAAACGATGCCGATGATCTGGATCATTGTGAATCCTATACGACATATACCATAGATATACGCATTAGAACGCGTGCTGGTGCATCAAATAAAAGACACTCGTCTGTAAAATATTTGTCGGAAACTGTGTTTGTGCGGCAAAAAATATAACWTAACCACTTAAGACTTACCACWTAAATCTTCGATGCCTAATAAATCATTAGTCTTAGTATTCACGTTTTCTAATAAAGAAACCATTATTGGTACTTTTTTTTGGTCATTAATACGAACAAAATTATAACACTGTTTTGAGGTTTTGTTATATTATAAAATTCTTGGCGAAATTGAATCGAAAAATGAAATCTTTATTTCCTGTTAGCCGTTAGTGCTGCAGTTAATATGCAGTAAAATGCAATATACTATTATATATAGGTACCTTCGGGTTTCCGCAACAGGACGGTCGTGCTGACTTCTTCAGATCCGGACGAGTCTAGGATTTTCACAGCGCACGTCCAGTTTCCGTAGTCGGAATCGTCAACGCGATCGACGGACAAACCGCAGTGGCCGGCCGTCAGTCCTTGGCCCGAGTACGCGTACCGGGGTGGAGGCTGCGCATCCGATTTCTCGTCGACGGCGAATCCGAATAGATGTGGTGTGAGGAACCGGCAGTAGGCTATAGGCTGCTTCTCGACTGTGTCGCAACCCAGCGTTACACGAGTGCCCTCGGTCGCGTACARTTCTTCTTGGCGGGCCGCAATCACGGACTCTGCGCAAACATGATTCAAAATATATAATACACTAACACACATATACATAACCACCAATCGTTGCCGAGTGTGAAAGCGATTCCGAGAAAATTCGCCATTGCAATCTT